GGTCATAGGGAATTGATTTCCGGATTTAAGGTTTGTTTGGGATAGTCCACGTGGTCTTCACAGTCCTGGAATCAAACAGGAAGTTGGTGTTTTCTTTTTCTCCGCAATGAACTTGAACCATTCTTTTCTTTCAGGACCCCCCACCCCTAGGTCTGTGAGGTCCCTAAGTAATTGCCTCAGTGGCACTGTTTAATACTAAAATAAGCATAATATAATGGCATAAGGTAACTCGGACCTCACCTCCCCCTCTCCGCACAGGGAGCAGAACAGCAGCAGAGTGGATTCAACGTGATGGAAATGACGGCGCTGATCTTCCGTGGTCCTTTTCCTCTCACTCTCACACGTCAGACTATGACTCCTTTTCCCCTGAAGGGAGCATGTCTAGCTTACATCCAGCATCTCCTCTGTGCTCCAGTTAGCAGAAGTCATTAGCAATCCTCTGTGCTTTCCCAGTCGGCACTGACAGCACTAAATAGAGACATCACTGGGGACTGACAGATCTCCAGGGGGCTGTGGGCTTCAGGCAGAAGGGCACAGCTGACCTTTCTTGGCGTTATTCCCTTGGGTATGTCTTCCAAGTGTGGCGATGAGGGAGCACGGGGTTTTTGTGCATTCTTTTTAGAGGCTTCACCATTAAAGACCACAGGGTTTGTAAGAAGCTGTCGAGTGGTTAACCAGAGGCTATGCCCAAGTTTCAGTGTATTGGTAGTTGGTTGGCAGTAGACTGTAGATTCTTCTTTTCTGCAGAATTGTGTACCGGGATCTTCTGTTCAAGGATGCCACTGCTGTAGTTAATATTAATATTAACTATCCTGCCTTTGCTCATTCAGTTCTCAGATAAAAGACACACAACCTTTACATTTATAATAGGCCTTAACAGCATTAGTGATGGGCAGATATCAACCCCTAAACCATTTTGTCTACTTCCCTGCCAAAAACCCCGAGATATGACTTGCCATGTTCTGCCTGGACTGCTCTAACTCCTCCTGGCCAGCCCTCATGGCCGGTTCTCATGATCCCTTACCCTATGGTGTCTTCTCTTTTCATTTTCCTCTCTCCTCGTGGTCTCTGCTTCAGACCTCAAGCCTGAGAACCAAAACCCCGCCTACCTCTCTTCTTCCCAGCTACAGGCCATATGCCTGTTTTTTGACCAATCAGGGATTACCTGGGGGACAATGTGGCATAATGACATCACTTGGTGTACATGAAGATCTCCTGAGGCAACCAGAACTTGGGGGCTAGTATTTAGCATTACAATTCATGGCAATAGACCAGACCTCATCATGACACTGAAAATTCATTTGTATCATACTTTTTTTTTTTTTAAGACAGAGTCTCTCTATAGGCCAGGCTAGCCTAGACCTCATAATAATCCTGCCTCAGTCTCTCTAGTGCTGGGATTATAAATATGAACCACAGGGGCATGCCAGTGTGTCCCTGTATTTTCAGATTACTGGGGTAATCCTTGAGACTTGGCAGAGGGGGGCTCGTGATATAACCCATAGAGAAGAGAGCTCTATTTTCTCACTGTCTTATGTCAATAGATTTTGAATAAGCAATGCTGGTCGATGATATCTCTCCCAGCCCTTGCCATGATCCATGTTGCTCTCACTGAGCAAAGGCCCTGAAACCCAGCACTGCCAGAAATCCTTTGTGCTTCAAATTCTCTGTTCCTCTTCGCAAAGTGATGAAAATCTCGTATTCCTGTGGTCCCTGTCTAAAGCATGAATTCAAAAGAAGCCATTGCTGTGGAAAGTTAGTTCATGGTAAAGTGTGAATGACACAATGTCCTAGATGCTTGGTCTGCACAATAGGGTTGTGCGCAGTGAAACTCTGCTCGAGCTCTCAGTAGGGGACCTGTGTTCATGTCAGAAAGGGGAAAGAGTTCCCACAGAATTCCCACCCAGTTTGTTCACACCCCACTCCCATCATTTTGTAGTATTTACACCTCGTCCCCACCACCTCTTATAATTGTGTTTGTTTTGTCGTTGACACCAGGCTAGGTTAGTATCGAGCTTAGGTGCAGGAAGATGACAATATGTAAGCTTAGATTACGTCTTAGATGTGACAGTAGGGGTTTGTTCACCTGTAGCACCTCCCTTCCCAACTTACTAGTGAATGGTTACTGTAGCACCTATTGCAGGGTACAAGGGACCTTCCATAGGTGAGCATGCACCCTAAGGATAGTGGGTAGACTATTTATTGTTCATAAATATACAAGAGTGAAAAAAATCCAGGCTTATTTTTAGAAATTCTCATCATTCCCACTCCCACTTTTTTTTTTTTTTTGGAAAAAGGAATTCTGGAGAAATGGTATTAGTGAGAGGATGATATGGAAGAGACGTAGGAATTTAAAAACTATCTCATAAGGCGAAACTAGAGTTACAGAAAAATATAATTGAGATATTTGTCTCACTCTTAGGAACCCAACAAGGCCCCCTGATGTAAAGATGTAAGGACCTCAGAAGGGCCTCCTTGCCAGCAGCATTAGGCTCTGAACAGCTACCTAGCTGAGTATCTGCAGACCTTGAACTTGTATCTATTCCAGGCAGCTCCCCGCCTCATGGTTTAGAGAATCACTCTCATTCATTTCCCAAGTGATGTAAAAGCTGACTAATGATGTTTAATCATTAAGATGAGGGAAATGACAATATCAACAATCTTGGATAACGATGTATCTTGCTTACTTTTACACTTTACACCAATAAACACTGTTTCTTTGGAAAGATGTGATGAATTACTTCCCTAATATTTAGTGTTTTCTAAAAGTTATTTCTAAGATTGTAATGATTTATTTTTTGAGATTATAATTTAATTACAATGTTTTTCTACCTTCCCTTTTCTTCTTCTAAACCCTCCCATATATCCCTCATCCTTCAAAATCATGACCTCTTTTTTCATTAATATTTTTCTTTCTGTTTTTTTCATGTTTTTCTAACAAAAAAGAAAGAATGGAAGTACTTATCCTGTGTTCTAAGAAAAAATACAATTGTATCCATTTTCCTAGTAAAACTTTCTGGAGCTGGAGAGATGGCTTAGTCAGCGAAGTATAGGTCCTGTAAAGCATGGGAATTTGAGTTCAAATTCCTAACACCTGTATAAAAAGCTGGGCCAGGGCATGACGGTGCTTGTTATGATCCTGACACTGGGGAGAGACAGACAGGAAGATCCAAGGGGCTTGCAGGCCAGTCATTCTGCTGAATCAGTAATTGCCAAGTTCAGTGAGAGATTCTCTGTAGAAAGTAATGTGGAGAGTGAGGAAGATTCCAGACTTTTGCCTCTGGTCTGCACACATGCATGCACATATGCATGTACAACACACACACGCACACACACAGACAATCCGTGCATACAGTACACATCATGAAAAGGAAAAAAATTTACCCAGCTCTCAGATCAACTAGAAAATGATTTGTATTGTGATCTACTTGTATCTCAGAGTATACGTTCATTGTCCTGACCACCAGATCTGACAGAATGCCACTCATGTGTCAGACAGAACAGGACAACCGTGTCACTTTGAAGTGTTTTGAGAAGGGTAAATGCTGTGTGTCTCTGTTCAAACAGCCCTGTGCTGTAGACCACAAGACTGAAACTGGAGTTGCATAGTAGAACTTTCTGGAAAGGCCTGTGGGGACTCTCCAGGTGAAGCTATATCGTTTCCTGCTGTGGTAGTGTCCTGTCTTGATCATGCCTGGCAACCATAGATTGCCGTACTTGAGGCACCTCCTTCCTGTGTCCCGTTCCATTTTCCAGCATACCAAAAGTTGGGGCAGAGGGAACTGTCTGGTCATGAATAGGTCGTACTCAGGAGAGAGGGAGTTTACTGGCTTCAATGCCTTATTGACAGCATTATTGACCTAAATGGACACACAGCTGAATTGCTTTGTCCACAGAAAGAAACCAAGGTTTGGTGCCAGGTTCAAGGTTCCTGGCTAACATTTTCTGTAATTGAGGCATATTAGTTCATTCACCCAAATTTCCATTTCTTCACCTATGAAGTGACCCTAGGGAGTGCTAGAAAATTAAATGAGGAAGTATTTTTCGAAGGCAATTTGTAAGCCATTTCACCTGAATGTTAGCCTCTGTCGTCACTGTGTTTATGAGACTCACTTAGGACTGATTTCCGATGTGTTCATCATGCTTGAGTGGTCCACAGTAACACTACTAGGGTAATGTGCCCCTGTTGCTTCACTCAGGTTTTGTGCTTGATGAAGAAAGTTCTGTTGACCTGAATTGCCTTAGATCCACTCACAAGGAAAGAACATATCTTGACATCGTTAGGAGCTTTTTAATTATGTCCATGGGTGGGCATGTGCTTGGCTGGATATGGCCATGGGTGGGTATGTGCTTGGCTGGATATGTCCATGGGTGGGCATGTGCTTGGCTGGATATGGCCATGGGTGGGCATGTGCTTGGCTGGATATGGCCATGGGTGGGTATGTGCTCAGTGTGAGTTCAAGGTACCCTTAGAAGGCAGAGGTGTTGAATTGCCCTGGAACTGGAGTTGCAGCTGATTGTGAGCCAGTTTATGTGCTTATTGAGACTAAACTTGGTCCCTCTCAGCAGCAGTGCTCTGTCGTAATGGCTGGACCATCTTTCTAGTCCCTCTTTCAGTCTTGAACAAGACTTTTAATCTCTGTAGCCGATATCTAGAGTAAAGCATGCTACACTGGAAAAGGTGCTTTATCAGGTTGACAGAATACTTTCCTCTATTTCCTCTCCTGTCCTTCCTTCTCTCCTCTCCCCACCTCCTTCCTTCCCTCTCTCCCTTCCCTTTTTCTTTCCGTCCTATCTTCCTCCCTCATTTGGTATCCATTTCTTGAATCACCATCAACATTGTATCATCATCAACATTGCCTAGTATACTAGTAATGACTTGGGGTAAGCACTTTAAAAAAATCAAATAAAAATGACTTATAAAGTATATAAAGATTTCCCCATTCTCTTATTGGATGGTAGAACCTTCAACTTCCTTTTGCTCCTCTTGATCTTTTCAGGCAACTTGGATCTAACCGGTCAGAAGCAGGTCTTCAAAGCAGAGAACAACCCCTGGGTTACCCCAATTGCTGACCAGTTCCAGCTTGGTGTCTCCCATGTTTTTGAATATATCCGTTCAGAAACATACAAGTAGTGAGTAAACTCTGATTTTCTAAAACATCAGACTGGTTTTTAAAATAATTTAGAAATATTTAAATGTTTTTGTTAAAAAGCGTCTTGTGATTTTTTTTTCCTGTTGTTAGCAGCGAGCATGTAAGCATTTCTAAATGTTTTATTGAAAACTACAGGTGGTAATTGTCTCTGATATTTGTACAATATTTTTATTTGACATGTAAAAGGACATTTTTGCCAAGTCTGCTTAGAGAAATTTTAAGGTATTAAATTGATTAAATATCCGTGGTATTCCAGGAATTTCACCAGACACAGTAAGATCTGTGCATTTTCTATTGTTCTGTGAAGGAGAATTACAAGTGTCAGGAAAAAACGTGTTAAGTCATTTATCTGGTAAATCTGTAGAGAGTACCAACCAGGACAACAGCATATTCTGTTACTTAGAAGGTTTTACTTTAATGGGATAATGAGCTCCCCTGGAAAAACGGACAGACACGAAGGGACAGAAGGAAGAACTAGCCAGCTTTAGGACATGGTTGCACCATTTCTTAAGTTCCTCCCTTAGATAAAGAGGCACCATGGGGACCCTTCTCAACAATACCTAGTTATTCCCACTTCTCCCTCTCTCTGTGTTTCGGGGTTCTCAGGGCTTCTCCCACCGCCCACCTGCTATTGTTCTGTCTTCTGTCATTTCTCCATCTTACCCTAGCTCCTAGTCCCTAAGATGTTCCTTTATTGCCATGCTGACCTGATTCCTAATGCAGAAGGCAAAGGCAGTTTTAATTTTAAACATCTGAAGAGAGACTTGAGGAAAATCCAGTTGTACTTTAATCTACTTCTATTTTCATCTCCAATTTAGCATCCGGACTACTAGAGCAGAGCTAGACTATCAATAAAGGACGTGCTCCCTCTAGACTCTCTTGCTTTCTTCCTGAGTATCAATCAGAAAGAGCTGCACTCCTACCCCCACCCCTAAGCCCACCCCCACCTCACTCCCAACTCAGAGCAATTCTGTACTGGGCCAGTGGGTCTGGATCTTGTGACAAGACAGAAGCTGTTTCTCTGCTAATGGCCAACTGTCAATCCGAAGTCCTCCATCAGGGGTGCTGTAGAGAAGACTATGCTAAATAGAAAACTACATACTCTGAAGCATTGGGAGTTTACATAGAAAGAATTTACATAGAAATTGACAAAATAGCAGCCCTCAGCATAACATATGGGTCTGGTAGGTTGTTGTGTGTGGACTGAATGGGTATGTATGTGTAGCATTATAGATTCAAGCTTTTCAAAAATGCAAATATAGCTCAGACTTAGAAGTTGTTTAGTTAGTGAAAATGTGTGAAAATATAATTGAAATTTAACAGACTATTTTGTTCTTCTGGGTAATTATTACCATCATGTGTTTTGTGGGTTTGTTTTTTTTTTTTAATTCTAGCTCACAGCTGATAACGGCTGTTAGCAAATGCAAAGATATGGGGCCTTTATATATGTGGTAATGTACAGAACTGTACCCAGACCAGCCTCTTTTAATCTAGGCATAGAGGAAATATTGCTTATTATTCTGATTAACAATTTTTTATTTACTCTAAATTAATTTATAATTTACGGAAGGTTAGAATTCATTGTGCTACTAACTTGAACTTCATTTATAAAGATTAATTTGTGAGTTCCTAAGGTTTGTGGTACCTCACAGTCATTATCAGGCAATTAATCAGCATTATGCCTCTTATAAATAGATCCAATTGATTTAAGCCACAGTTAGGATTCTGGATGGAGAAGAGATATATTGGTGAGTTCTTTGGGAGTTCTTTGAACACGAATGCACAGCAATTTTAATCAGTAACATATACTACATATGTATATTTGTATGTGTATGTGTGTGTGTCTGCATGTGTGTACCTGTGTGTTTGTGTGCATGCATGTGCCTGTGTGTGCCTATGTTTTGCGGGACAGTGCATGTGTGCCACAGTGTGCAGGTAGGTGTCAGAGGATGGCCTTGGCTGTCAGCCCTTGCTTTCCACTGTGTTTAAGATGGGATTTTAATAGTATGTATGCCAGACACCTGACCTGCCAGCTTTCAGAACTTCTGCTTATATCCCCCATGTCACCAGTGGAACACTAGTGAGTCCTGCTGTGTCTGCATCTGATTTTATTTGGGTTTGGAGGATCTGAACTCAAGCCCTTATGTATGTATGGCAGGCATTTTACCTATGGAACTATCTCCTCATCCTTGGTAGTAATATCCTTAAAAAACACATTTTTATTGATTCCTTGTGAATTTCACATCATGAACCTCAATTCTACTTATCTCCCCATCCCTCCATATCAGCCCTCCACCCTTCCAACCTTCCCCACAAAACAATCAAGAGGGGGGGGGGAATAAAAACAAGTAAACAGCAGCAGAAAACACTTCTTCCTGTGGAAGCTGTGGTGTGCCATGGTGTGTCACATAGTGTCCCCTTTTGCCGAAACAGCTGCACTTGCAAATGTTCATTGCATTGAGTCATTTGTTCTGGCTTTAGGCCTCTGGCTTCCACTAAACTATCAATACTGGATCCTCACCAGGACGACTCTTGAATAACCTGCTGTTGCCCTGCATCATGGAGATCCTGCAGCTTTGTTTCCACAGGACTGGCCCCTTCATGGGCTCCAGCACGAGTAGATGGCTGTGACATATGGGAGAGCTGGCCCAGTTCCTCGCCTAGGCAAAGCTGGAGAGCTGACCCTGGGGGCATAGGCAGAGCGGGCAGACTTCACTCTTGTAATGCCTTAAGCAGCTATAACATCTTGTAGTGTACCTCCATCTGTGGACCAGTGGCATTCATATTAGTACACACTTGATTATCATAAAAATCCAAAACGACTTTTTCAGGTTTTAGATGTGACCACATAGGTCTGCAACATATTCATGGCACACATCATTTTTGTAAAGGCAACTTTTCTGTGCAGTGCTTGAGTTTTAGGTTCTTGAACCTAAAGCATTATAGTTTCTTTTGTGAGTGTGTGTGTGTGTGTGTGTGTGTGTGTGTGTGTGTTGGGGGGGGGTATGTGTCCATGTGTGTGCATGTGTATGTTTGTATGTAAGTATGTATACAAGTACATGCAGGCTAGAGGCCAGTGGTGGGTGTCATTCTTCAAGAATGCTATCCACTGAGATTGGTCTTTATTGGCCTGGGACTCACCTGTCTCTGCCTTCCCAGGGCTGAGAGTACAAGTATAAGCCACAACCCCCTACTCTTCTGTGTGGGTGCTGGGAATCTACATCAGGCCCTCATGTTTGCCAGCAAGTGCTTTACCAACCATGATTTCTCCCCAGCCCTCCTTAGAATATCTGATAACTACTTCTTTGTCTTTATTCACTTGGTCTGCATATGTCTTCTTCATTTAAAAATACTTAGGTGATTACATATGTGTACATATAAATATATGGCTTTCTATTAAAGATATGTGTGCACATATGAAAGCATAATTTGAAGTTTGATAAACCTCCTCCATTCTCCTCCCCCTCCCCCTCTCCCTCTCCACCTCCCCCTCTCCATCTCCATCTTCCTCTTCTTCTCCCTCTTGCTATCCCCATCCCATCTGTCTCCAAAATATCTTTTACCTAGGTGAAAGGAAAAAGGAATTAGGAGACATTCCAGAAAGTTGGTTTTATGCTGGTCCTTGGAAAACTTCTCCAGTGACCTTGGCATTTTAAGTACCTCCTCAAGATGGTGTGCAAATAGGGCAGTGAGAACAGAGAGGATGGGTCATCTGATGTGTTGGCTCTGATGGACTATGAGAGGAAACGTGCGTTCTTGAAATCAACAGGGAATTTGGTGCTTGGGAAAAAGTGAAATCCAGGTACTTGGAGATGCTTTCATTTGATTCAGAGAAGAGCTTAGTGAGGCAGGAAAAAGGGCAATAAATATCAGCAGCTAGGACGTTGATTTGGATTTGTTTTTTTCAGTTAATTTGGTAATTTGGTGTGTGTGTGTGTGTGTGTGTATGTGTGTGTTCATAACACTCGTGTAAATGTCAGAGGGCAACTCTAAGGAATGAGTCCTCTCCTACCGTAGACTTTAGGAACTGAATTCCAGTTGTACAAGCAAGCACCTCTACCCAGAGAACCATCCCACTGACCTGTCTCTCGAGCCCTGACGTATGGCTCTTCAGAGATGTTCTGAAGCATACACTCTGGGTACTCATTGGGTCGTAGCCATTTCTCAGATGGAGATTGCTCTGTGTTCACCTGTCATTTCTCCTCAAGGGGAACATATTGACTTTTGTCATCACACTGCCCAGGATGTCTCATTCCATTGCTAATGTAAAATAAGTGGCTGAGTCTGGAGTTAGGAATTATATTTAAAACCCAGAGCATCTTCATTGTTTTGTTGAGTCACACATCACCTTTGACCTCCTTGGGGGATGGTACCCATCCACCTATTTGTTTTTATGTGAGTTCTTTTATTTCTGTATAATTTTGATGGACTCGACACTGCTTGGTACAGTTTTTTTTTGGTCCCTGCTGCAAGAGCAGCCAGGTTGAAGCCTCAGCCCTTGAGAAGATCCCCTGTGAAAGGGAGTAACTCACGCTTCCCACATTTTCAACCAGGTGTGTACGTAGCGACGGGAGCCATTTTAAAAGCTGACAGGTTCACTCTTGTCAACAAGTTAACAAAAGAAGACATTTGACAGATGCTGGGCTGAAAATGTGTTAGTTGAAAGAGGGGCTTTTGGAACACAGATGTCCCCCATGAAGGGTGTAATTTGTGGAGCTTGGCAAGTCTGCATCCCCATTTCCAACCTGGCAGGACACAAAAGGGGCTTCTTCCTCATTCTTCTACCTTGTGGCTTGTTTTTCTCCTGGGAGAAAACATACTCCTCTCAGGGGATTCTCCATTCTCATGAGTTAATGGACACGGTGCTTGAGGACTGGTGGGCAATTATAAGAAAAGGGCAAGCATTTATTTCTCTTCACTAAGAATCTAGCAAAACCAGTTATCTTGTTTGATTTATGAGGACTGGTTATTTTATCTACA